AGTTTCTTAAAGACTGCAAAGTCTTGCTCGAAATTGCCACCTTCTGAGACTAAGTGTAGGTGAGCAGAAAGAATGTTGCAAGTGTTCTGAAGGTTGGGACAGCTGATAGTAGAAAAGGCATGTGTTGAGGCAGCAGATTCTGTATTTATATATAATGTATTGTGTATATATATGTACATATATAATTTTATTTATATATAATGTGTGTATATATATGTGTATATATATATATAATTGTATTTATATATGATATATGAAATAAATGTATTATTTCTCCTAGAAACTCCAAACCCCCTAAACCCATAGCTGGCTGGGATTAGAAGTGTTTCATCCGGAGCTCTGGGTTATCCTCTTATTCTCAGGGGAATGCGTGGTGATTGTCCCCTTTGCAGTGGTACCACCTTGTTGGAGTGCCAAGCCCAAGGATTCTCCTAAATCCCTACAGAGAGGATGTTTCCTGGGTACAGAATAAATCCAACATGCTATTCCCATACATCCCTATTAAATATCCGGCAGGTTTTTTTAGGATGTAGTATGTGTGGAGTGCACATGATAGGTTTTACATCCAACTGTTTCACTCTGAAATGTCCTCCTTCCACTTTTTCTTGAGGGTGATACAATCTGATATGATTAAAAATCACTGCTACTTTATGGGTTTGCCCCTGCCCTGCAAGACATTTCAAATATTCAGAGTCCACTGAAGTCATCTTGTGTGAATTTCTTCCTTGTTGCAGATACAGCATTTTTAAAGCATGAAGTAATACGCATGCTTTCTCCAGTGGTTACATCTTGTCTCTGAGAAGCTTAGTGGTTTGTGCTGACGACAAGTAGTTGGCAGAGTAACCCATTGTATAGCTGTCCTATTTAATCATTATCCCTCAAGCATGTTTATGAGCTGTTTAAGAGGACAGCAATTTCCAGTAAATTAACAGAGCAAGATACTAACTTGTCTCTGAACATGTGGCTGTTTATAGGTAGAGTAGGCAGCGTAAGGGATATTCTGCTTTTATTCATGATAATAGATTAGTCATGCTATTCCCCTTTGCAGAGTTATAGTGACCTTTAGTGGCCTGTTATGCAAGGCGCTATTTACAATCTGTGTAGTACAAATACTTTGGCTTATGTCTCTTTGTGTTTATGCATGTTGCATGTATATGCACATGTGTTAAATAAGATAGAAGAATGTTCATGGGTGAGTAGTGATTTTTCAGTCCCTTAGATTTGGGATGTCCAGCTAAAACTCTAAAAGTTGGTGGTTTTTAAATGTCACAGAGATTCATTCAGTCTCAGCGTAATGTAAGCAGGAGCTTTGTACTAAGATTTTATTTAGCAGATTGATTTCCTACAGGTGAATTTTTCATTGAAAGGTGAACTTCATGAAAAGTTACCATCGTTTTGTCTGACTGATTGACTGAACCTTCCCTTTACGCATGTAAAAATTGAGGAAAATAAAAGATGGTGTGAAATATAAGTATCTGACAATCATCCTAACAAAATAAACAAGAAAACAAAGCCAGCTGTGGCCAGTCCTTTGTAAAGGCTGCATTTCCTTCTACTTCAGCATGATCCACCCATTTCAAAGTTTTTTGTTACTTTTTTCCTAGTTCCATAAGCATGTGCTGATTGATCATGGATGAATATGATCTAATTCCTGCCTGGTGGAATTCCCCCAAATTCTGTAGGCCAAATAGTAGTGTCTGCTGTCTTCTAGGAAGTGGCATCTGTCTTTGGCTGCTAACGTAGGCTCTAGGTGACCTGCTGGTCTATTCAGAGACGGAAGGTGCTCAGTCCTCGCACATCTCCCTTCTAAGATGGCCCAAGACATTGAATTTAGGAGCCGCCTCATCAAATCTTAGAGCAGTTTGGGTTGGAAGGGACTTTCAAGGTCATCTAGTCTGCCCCCTTGCAATAATCAGGGACATCTTCGTCTAGATCAGTATCTATTCAGGATTGCTGCATAATTGGCAGAGAGGAAAGGCTATTTCCAAGTTAAGACTTAGTCCTCTGAAGGTGCCTTTCTCTGTTTCCGCTAAGTGTTTTAAAAAGGATGAGATGTAGCCAAGCTTCAGTTTAAGAAAAGATAATAATTTAGAGAAGAAAGGACCAGATTTATGTTGCTTCATGCCAGATAATTCCTTTTAGTCTTGGGATATGTTTCTGCTTTCGTTTGTTCTTACGCTATACTTGTACAGGATGTACAGCAGGACTATTTAGAGAGTATGCCAAAAGCTGGGATAGTACAGGAACTCATGCTCTCCTTTCTGTATCTCTTGCATGAATCTAACCACATCTGTCCAAGTGTCTGGTAAATCAACCTTTCAAGAAGACCAAGTATTAAATAGATCTGTTTGCTGTTCTTGATTTAACATAAACCTTCTGGTTGATCTGGATCTAACTCCTATGTGAAAGTTCAAAGAAAATAATTTCAGTGGGCTTTGTTAATTTCTTACCTAGAATAAATAATAAAACTCATTCCAGGTGACCTGGACAAATGGAGAATATCATAGTCTTCATTTTCAGTTGATCCCAAAGAGACTAAACTGTGGGTAGCTACCTGTGCTTGTGACTGTTGGGTATGTAAGGACAGATATTGTAAAGATAGATTATGAATACATACTTCAAAGAACAGATTGTAAAGAACCTGCGGACCAGTGAAGCAGAAAAGCTATATCTTACCAAAAGACATAGACATCTTTTACCTGGAAATAGCATTTAAAATCTAGATGGACCTTTGTTTTTTGTTTCTTTTTTGGCAATACTTTGGTTAACTCAGCTATAAACTGTTTAATGCAGAATCAGACTCAGAGCACGCAGTAATTTCATATCTATAACAACTTTCATTCTCCCTCTTTCAAGTATTTATGATTTGAATAAGGTACAAGTTTTCATCCTCTCAGAGGAAAGGATGTGAGGAGGTCCCTATGTAGGACTATCACTTGTTGATTTGACAGAAAAATCTCTCCCTCACTCTCACATGTTTTAAGGATAGCAGCAGGACGAATTTGCTCATACTTCATTGACAGAGCTAATTTGTATTAAATTCCAATAGATATTCTTCAGTGAATATCTATAAACTGCAAAAAAGTGAGAAGGGATTTCTAGTGCAAGGTTTTCTTGACTGAAAATCATTTTGCCAAAGCTTGGGGTGTTTCAGTTGTTTCAAGCATCTGCTTTTCTGGGCAAGTGAATAAGCTAATGATACAAAAAGTCTATTTTTGTACTATTTGTACTGAAGGTAGAAGAACAGTTTTGGTGTTAAGGATTGTGCATTTACACAAAAATGTCATTTATCTCATTAGTTCTGATATAAGCTGTGAAACAGCCAAATTGGCCAAAGCAACAAATAATATAGTTACAGAAAAGGTAATGGAGTAACATTACTGGCTTAAGATGCTATGCAGCGATTTATCACAGTATCACAGTATCACAGTATGTTAGAGATTGGAAGGGACCTCGAAAGATCATCTAGTCCAATCCCCCTGCCGGAGCAGGAACACCTAGATAATGTTACACAGGAATGCGTCCAGGCGGGTTTTGAATGTCTCCAGGGAAGGAGACTCCACAACCTCCCTGGGCAGCCTGTTCCAGTGTTCCGTCACCCTCACTGAGAAGAAGTTTCTTCTCAAGTTTAAGTGGAACCTCTTGTGTTCCAGTTTGTACCCATTACCCCTTGTCCTATCATTGTTTGCCACTGAGTAGAGCCTGGCTCCGTCCTCGTGACACTCCCCCTTTATATATTTATAGACACTGATAAGGTCACCCCTCAGTCTCCTCTTCTCCAAACTATAGAGACCCAGCTCCCTCAGTCTTTCCTCATAAGGGAGATGTTCCACTCCCTTAATCATCTTTGTTGCCCTGCGCTGGACTCTCTCCAGCAGCTCCCTGTCCTTCTTGAACTGAGGGGCCCAGAACTGGACACAATACTCCAGATGGGGTCTCACCAGGGCAGAGTAGAGGGGAAGGAGGACCTCTCTCGACCTACTAACCACCGCCCTTCTAATACACCCCAGGATGCCATTGGCCTTCTTAGCCACAAGGGCACAGTGTTGGCTCATGGTCATCCTGTTGTCCACTAGTACCCCCAGGTCCCTCTCCCCTACACTGCTCTCTAACAGGTCATTCCCCAACCTATACTGGAACCTGGGGTTCTTCCTGCCCAGATGCAGGACTCTACACTTTCCCTTGTTATATTTCATCAAGTTACTCCCTGCCCAACTCTCCAGCCTATCCAGGTCTCGCTGGATGGCAGCACAGCCTTCTGGCGTATCAGCCACTCCTCCCAGCTTAGTGTCATCAGCAAACTTGCTGATAGTACACTCAATTCCCTCATCTAAATCATTGATGAATATATTAAATAATACCGGTCCCAGTACTGACCCTTGAGGCACTCCACTAGTTACAGGCCTCCAACTAGACTCAGCCCCATAGACTACAACTCTTTGGCTTCTCTCCTTCAGCCAGTTCGCAGTCCACCTCACTACCTGATCATCCAGTCCACACTTCCTCATTTTAGCCGTGAGGATGCTGTGGGAGACTGTGTCAAATGCTTTGCTGAGGTCAAGGTAGACCACATCCACCGCTCTGCCATCATCCATCCACCGTGTTATTTCCTCATAAAAGGCTAAGAGATTGGTCAAACATGATTTCCCCCTGGTGAAGCCATGTTGACTGCCCCTATATTTTCCTGAGAATTTTCTCCTCTGTCATTATCTTCACACATGTAGAACCCAGACAGCTACATGTGAACTAGATTTAGATACATTCATATCCTATCCAGTCAAGAGAGACAAGTGTTTCCAGAGCATGGTTTGTCCGTTTTACTTTAGATATTTTCTTTAGGATTATTTGACCCTCAAAGTGTTTATTTCTTTCATTTGGACTATTAATGGAAGTCCAGACATCCAGATCAGATGTGTTTTTTATTGACAGGCTAACCCCATCTTCTTGTGTCATGGAATTTAATTCAGAATAGTAATTATGATTCATATTTGTGCTTGCAGGTTGGTCAGGACAAAGGAAGCTGTTCTTTTCACAGAAACCCCAGCCCATGCATTGTTCCTCAAGAGAATGAGAATATTTTCCACACGATATTTGCTTTTTTCACAAAGTCTGGCAGAAAAGTATTGGTAAGAAAGTCCACTTACAGTAAACTTGAACATACAGTATAGTATATCTTACAAAAGATTTTGCATGGTTTAACAAGAACTCAAGCAGATAGTTCATCACAGAACAACTGTCTGGTGCCTGTGAACCAATACTCATCATGTGCTGTGGGAATATTTAGTGATTTAGTTATTTAGTGAGGGTCTGGCACAGGTTGGACAGAGAAGCTGTGGCTGCCCCATCACTGGCAGTGTTCAAGGCCAGGTTGGATGGGGCTTGGAGCAACCTGCTCTAGTGGAAGGTGTCCCTCCCCATGGCAAGGGGTTGGAACAAAATGAGCTTTGAGGCCCTTTCCAACACAAACCAGTCTGCGATGCTATGATTTTAATTATCTTCTTTTTAAAGAGAAATAGGAAGTTTCAGGAAGCTCAGTGGGGAGGGAGTTATGTGATATGGCAGCACTCATTTGGTAACCAGAGCCCTCGCTCTCATGTTGTCATAGGCATATGGAACAGCGGGGCCCTGCACTATGCTTTGTGCCTGACCCATGCAGTGGGCTGATGTGCAGCAGTGGCCCTGCTCCTTCCAGCCTTGGGCGCTCACCTGGCTCAGCAGCTCTGAACAGGGCTTGATTTTACTTGGCTTGCTGTCATGCAGATCTCTGATCTAGCTGCCTTCAGGTCTTGAAAGTTGCTGCTATTTCAGTGCAGAAGTGCTGTATTCTAGGAGCTTACTCTGTAGCTTAGTCAGCTGGTGTGTTTGCTGTCACACAGTTTGTCACTGAATTTTTTCCTCCTTTGCCTAACAGCTTTTTCCATATTTCCTGTAGGACTGTGAAAGACCAGGCAGGTCCTGCTTAATTATACGCTGCAACTTAAGTTCACTAGCCAAAGCAGAGTCCTGTGATATAAGTATCTACACGCTGCTGAATACAGAGATACTGAAGAAGGTACGTGCTTCCTTTGTAGTTTGTCTTGAATACCAATTTCAGTATGCTTATGTGCACCAATGGACTCAAAACTTGCATTCCTTGCTCTCTTTACTAGTGTGTTAAAAAAAAGCATCATGGTGTCAAAGAAAACAGATCTATTTATCAACAGCATGTATGGAGGTGTTAATCCTAGTTATTACCCATTACCCATTAAGCCAGAAATAAATTAAGTTCAGAAATTTATACATTGAGAAACAACAAATGAGGCCCCTGATTGTATGCGTGGTGTTAAGGCTAGAGACTTCTGAAAGTTGAATTGATTTCGGAAAGTTTTCATTCTGCAAAGTGAAATTAGAGTAAGTGCATGTAAACTGTGACCAACTATCTATCATTCCTTCCATGTAAACAGAGACGTGGCGGGTTTTTGTAATTTTTTACTTCAAATGATTATTATTCAAAGAAGATGCTTCATGACCATATTAATGCTGAGCTTGACATTTGTGACAAGAAACAAATGGTTGCAAGTTAATTCCTGTGTTCTCTGAAGCCGCTGAATGAAACAGCAGACCTTTTAGATTTCTAGTGATTTATTATGTTTTGCCCTGTTTTCCTTTACTTACAGAAATGCTGACTGTGTAATTGTGGCAAGATGCCGTAAGGTTATGAGGGTACAAGGTAATCAGAGGAGAAAACTGAGAACAGGAGCCTACTAAAATAAACTTGTCTTTGATAGCTGCTAGATTACAAGCATTGTAAAGAGCTCTTATTAGAAAGCCGTTCCTAAAGCAATGGATAGCTGTGAGCTTTTCCACCTGAACCCAACCACTCTGCTAATGTTTGTTCCTATTTGAAAACAGGGAATGCAGGCAAGGCCAGAAGTTTTGGGTATTTGTTTACATGTTTATGGAAATGCTGAAATATGTAAGCAAGTAACTGAGTGCACACAAAATGTGCTTCTGGGAAATTCAGTCCTAAGAATAGCCAGGATTCATCCCACCTATTGGGTCCTTTTCAAGATGACCATTAGCAGCACTCCTTCAAAACACATGCAGTGCTTACACATGTCTTTGGGACAGTATCAGCAATACATGCCATTTGCTTGCTTAGCACTTACCCTCCCCAGAGTGAATAGCATACAAATGACTAACCTATGAGATGGAATGGCCGCTTATTGGAATGTGCCTATTAAAATGCACTGTGTAAAATATAGGGAGAATATGTATTAATAAGGGGAGGTGTATGCTCAATATTTAAGGTATTTACAGTGCACAGCTGCAAATAATTCAGAGTTTATCCCAGGTTTCATATTTGTTTTTTTCTGTTCCTTTGAAAAACAAACAGGAACTCTCTTCGATAGTGGATATTGATACTGCCTGTGTTGACTGGCAGTGGTCTGCTTTTTGCTTTCTCAGTAAATGTGGGAAACGTTAACAGGCCACATAGAAATAATGTGTTTCAAGCCCAGCGTACCTGATTTTGTTTTAATCTGAGATATGTGCTCTGTTTTGTCTGTTGTAAGCATAAGGTATATTTTTTTTAAAACCAGAGTTTTAACCAGAATAGTGCTTAACTGTCACCCCAGCCTCCTCTAAGCATTGTCTAGATGTTTTTATTACACTGGAAAATGATTGATGTTTTTGTTTTGGAGGGTGGTGGGGAGTGGTGGTGCCTTTTTGTTGTTGTTGTTGTTGTGTCTTCAAATCCAATTCTTCCTCTTTTTACTTCTCAGGACAGTTCATCAGTCATCCAGTTCGTCACAAGGGCAAGGGTGCGGGTGGACCCTGACCTCAGAGTTGTGGAGATACCCAATGGGAGCCCAGAAGAAAAACCAGTAAGTAAATCATAGGATCAGCCAGGTTAGAAAAGACCTTTAAGATCATCAAGTCCAACTGTTTCCCTGGCACTTTCAAGGCCACCACTAACCCATGTCACTGAGGGCCTCGTCTACATGGGTTTTGAACAATTCCAGGGAGAGGGATTCCACCACTGCCCTGGGCAGCCTGTTCCAATGCTTCTTAATATTCAGTCTAAACCTCCCTTGGTGGACCTTGAGGCCTTTTCCTATTGTCCAATCACTTGCTCCTTGAGAGCAGAGACCAGCCCCCTCCTGGCTCCATCCTCCTGTCAGGCAGTTGTAGAGAGTGATAGGGTCCCCCCTGAGCCTTCTCTTCTCCAGACTATCCCCCCCGCCCCAGGTCCCTCAGCTGTTCCTCATCACACCTGTGCTCCAAGCCCTGCACCAGTTCCATTGCCCTTCTCTGGACCCACTGAATAAACCTGAAGAGAAAGGTTTCCTGATCCCAGTGGACTGGAGATCATTGAAAGCTCTACACAAACTGGATTGTGTGGCTGGGCTTAACCCATGAGAGTACCCAGACTTTGTCTGGCTAGACTAGCAGTAATGTGAACTGTATTTGTGTGGTTTTCTCCCCTCTGATAACCATACCATTGCAGTGAATGACATTCTCTGGAGCAGAAGTATCTGTGTCGTGCTAGTCAAAACTGTAATACCCTTGAGGTTCTTGTGCCAAAATTAGGTTTAGCTTCCTGTTCTAAGGTTAACATCTGCTTTAATCTAATTCAGATTTTTCTTTAAAATCTAGCAGAGACTTGAAACCCCAGAAAAGTCTTTTCAGGTGTGCCAGTGTGAAATATTTGGAAGTGTTAATGATATCTGGGGAGCTGTGAAAATGGGCAAGGGGACCTAAACTGTCAAATTCATTTAACTGTTCCATTGTGCTGAGCTGGCAGAATTTATGTATGACCTGATACTGCATTTTGTAGTGGTCTACGTGTGATTGAATTTCGAAGGGGAAATATTAAAGTTCAAGGCAAATTCACTACATAGTTTTGGCTGTAAGCAGAACTGCACAGGGCCATGTTTATAATCTACTAGAGAAGGAGGAGGTTTCCTACTTTGCTTTCGTTTCCTACTACCAAGCCGCCTAATACTTACACATGAAAATTGAATAGGCGGCCACACGGAAATCAGCTTTCTTTTTGCCTGATGAGATTTTGAAGTTTAATTTCTTATTTCTGTCTCACATGAGGATCAAATTTAATCTGGACCACTTTCAATTTCTCCTCTTGTTGTGTATTTTTGGAACATGATCTAGATGCCATCTCTCAATTAACCTTTTATCCCCAGTGATTGCCATTGCCACCAGCCCATGCAACCATTCTCTCATTGACTCCATTTCAGTGAGTTCTATTGAGATTTGAGTGTGATAGCATTGACTTCAACACACTTTTGGAAGACCCTGAAAGACCCTGACATCCCACATTAAAGCATTTCTCAGAGATGCTGGATTTAAAATCCTACAGGCAAAGGAAGAATTGAACCTGCATCCATTTAATACCCTCAGTCTGAAAGTAGACCCACCAATACAGTGACCATCTTCTCCGCCATCATGTTTGCAACCCTAGACTTAACTTTCTATTTTATTAGACCTGTCAGAAATATGTGTATATATGTATATATTTTATTTGACAGGACACCATTTTTTCCCTTCTGTTTTATTTTCTTTGTCAGTTTTCTGGACCATTATAAGAGCATTAAAAAATAGGCTTGGCAGCTGAAATAGAAAGCATAGCAAGCTTCTCTGGGAATGTGCCTGCAGCCTTAATTTTTAATACATTGCTTGATTTCTTTTTAGCTCTGCAGCTTGCATAGAGCAAATCTTGTGATTTTGTGGCAAAATTTCACTGGCTGAACAAGTGACTGATACCTATGCCCCAGTTGAAATGTAAGAAGCCACCATCTCTCTGCCAAATGTTTTGATCTGTAAATGGTTTCAGAATCTCTCAGAATGATAGGCACTATGTAAAATATGTGGGATTGCTGTTATTTCACGTTCAAACTTTAGAAATGTTCTTATCTAGGAATGCGAGCTCTGATGTATTTCATTGTTATCCAATGCTTGGAGAAAAAAGAAGAAAACAAAACAAAACCCCAAAACATTGTTCTTTTCCTGTTCCCGGAAAGCCTTCCATCAAGCCTTGAGTTGCAACAATGACAAAGTGCACTGTGTGTGCTGGAAAGCTATGTTAATCTTCAAACAAGAGCTTGCTCCTAGTTCCTGGGAAGCCCTAGCCGTAAAGGAGCATTCTTGACATGTTGTAGCCGTGTAACATCAATTTGTAATTTCCAGTCTTTTCTAATGTGAGTGCCATTTGCTCCCTCCTTTATGCTCTTTCCATATGTCTGTTGGCTTCACCATTGGTATGTTTTGCATAGGGTCATGTTCAGGGAAAAATTTAAGACGTGGTTTGGCTCAAAGTATTCGTTTTTCATCCTTCTCTTGTGGAATGCAGAAGGAAATAGTACTTGTTGCAAGCCACAGCTATTCAGCTGGAAGTAGAGATAGGAGAGAGAATACGTCTTTGTTCATACTCCTCCCTTCCTTTTTAAAATCTCATCCTGGATTCTTTTCAGTGACTATGGACTGCTGTACCATATCCATTTGGATAGCAGCTCCTTCTGAACAGTTGTGCATGGACTTCCTTTGAGTCTGGTTATGAAAGTGCTAACAACAAGAAACATTTTCTTAGACATTTTCTCATGGTAAATTTGAAAGAAAAGGCCTTTTTGCCTTCTACAGCTAAATGGAGACTTATTAGCACACTTAAATGGTTGTTTAGAACAAGGTGCCTTTACTTCACTGGGTACTTTTACTCTGTATTGTACAACATCAAGTGCAAATAGTCTGTAATGAAGAGAAAAGGAAATTGAAGACTCATATTTGTGATGTTAGTGTTAAGAACTACTGTTGGTGGCAGGACCACCCCTATAAATATCATCAGTAGACTATTTGTAAGGGAGATGCAAAAGCTTATGTAAATATTTGCAAGCTGGATAGCAGCTGTCTTTGTAATGAACCCATTTTTTAAGAAAAAAAGATGCATTTATTCAGTTCTCAGAAATCATTTCTCTGGATTTGGATATGGTTTCATGTGACTTGGAATGATATATTTTCTGTCTCCAGTTACAATAGGCTGTTTGAACTCTTATATTGGACAAGTCACATGAAGAAGGTGAGCAGAGTTTGGATTTGGCTCTGTAGTGACAGTTGTATTAGCAGGAGTATGTATTGGCTGAAACCGATGGTGTGGTATTTTCAGGAGGCATGCTTTCTTTTCTTGAGCATATGGGTTTCCATGAAGGTTTGGCTCCCTTCTTCGCTGCATGTGAGGCAAAACCAACAATAAGCTCCATGAGACCGCCGTGGTCAAATACCAGATCCAAGGATTCACATCCTGTGCTCTCTGCTTGTGTGCAGGAGGAAAAGTGTTCTTCTCTCAGAGGCACTTCCCTCTCTGAATGCCAGTGTGGAGGGAAGAATAAGCTGGATTTCACCATGTCAGAACCAGCCAAATATGTCTGAGTCTGAATAGATGCAAAGCTGAATAGATTTTTAACCTTTCTCTCCTCCTGCATAGAGTTCACTGTTTCCTCATTTTCAGCCCAGTCACCCCATATTTAATTTGACACAAGCAAGTGGTTGCTCTACATGGATTATTTTTCTTTTCTCAGGATTTAGGTACGTTTATGTACAGAGATACAGGAGAATGGTGTCTTTTTTGCAAGTCCCCTCAAGTATAATGGCACCTGGATGGACAAATCAGCCAGCAGAGCAGTGTGGTTTGAACCACCAGAATCATTCTGGGTGATAATAGAAAAATAAAGTAACATTTTTATCATAAGCCAGTGCCTTCCATGATGCTGTGGTTCATGATACAAGCACATAAAATTCAATTAGTGCACGTAGGTGGGAACTAAATGATCTCTAAGGTCTCTTCCATTGCTAACCAGTCTATGATTCTGTGATTCTATAAGCAAAAAGAAATGAAAAGTTTGCAATTATGTATTTCTAACTGTATTTTGCTGAAGTATGTTTCTTGTCTTTGAGTCCCAGTGCAGCAGCGTGTGTGTATTCTGCAAAGGGCTTCAGCACAGTATGTACTTTAGGGTTTTGCAAAATTCCTACTCCGTTAACCTCTTAACTTCTTGCCTACACGCTCTACTGGAGAGTGTTTTAAAAGCATTAAATATATATATGAAATTCTGATTCTTTTCAGTTTGTTCATAAAGATTATCAGAATATAGCAAGTGTTTGGCACAGGTAGATGATGAACTGGTAGATGCCCTTGTCCCATGTAGGTTCAGCATTTCAGAAACCAGTGGTAGGGTGAAGCCCTCTTGTTTTACAGAAGGGCAGTTGCATTGTGTAAAATCTGATTGACGTGTGAGCTATGTCTCACTAAATGGCAAGCTACTCTGCCTCCCGGGCTTCCCTGCTTCCAAACCCCACCAGTATGGTGTGAAATGCAGAAGATAAATATGTAACTAAAACTCCTCATACATCGTCAAGACAACTCTGCTTTTCCACAGCCTTTCCCTGGTGTTTTGTCGCAGGCTGAAAACAAGCCTGTAATCCGCTCCATATTTCATGACTGTTGTATCTGCTTTCTCTGAACCAGGTGGCTTCTGCTCCCACTGTCCTATCTGGGATGTTTTCCCAAACCCACCTCCCTTATCTTCTGTATCAGTCACTCTTATCACTCCTGTATTCTCTATCAGTTAGGACTGTGGGAAGTCCATTGGGCGGGGATGGGGACTGCCTTGTGCTCCCCAACACATTGGCTGCCCTGTTGGGGCTCTTCTGGGGTGGATGGGATGAGGAGTTCAGGTTTTGCTGGTGACTGGCTTTCAGAGACTGTGTGATGGCCATGGGTCAAGTGGTGGATGGCTCTCTTCTGTTTGGTAACACCATCCTCTGCCTCCAACCTCTCCCCATCCAAGGATGACTTGCTTCCGTGGCCTCCCACCACCTACTCTACTGACTTCTTGTTGATCACCCTGACATGTGATGTACACTGTCTGTTCAGTCTGCTTTGATTGGGGTTCAGCTTGGGTTTTTTGTTGTTGGTTGGTTGTTTCACCAAAGCTCATTGCAGTGGTTGCATATTAATGCAGGCGCATTTTGAGAGCTTGAGAGGGATAAGGACACTAATAGGTGCAGCGTCCCTGCTTCTCTCCAAACCACAAAGCCATGAACAGTGGGGTTTTATGCTTGTTTGTTGATTCCAGACTGCTAGAATAAACTGGGTAAATAAGAAGCTGTTGTTGCTTTCTACCCTTATAGTTCGAGCTGTGACTGCAAAAGCTACAGCCAAGCTATTCCAGCCAGAGTGCTGTAAACCTGAAATCTGGGGCTCTTGCTTCACAGATGATGTATGATTTGATCTCTGCAGTTATTCCTAGCTCTGTCTTTTGGCAGCATGAAGGACATACAGGTCTATTGTGCTGGATGTTGTATTATGTTAATATTTACTCTCTGAGTAGTGGGAAGCAGACACCACCTCATTTTGCATCCAGGGACTGCCTGAAAGGTCTCTTCACTAAAGCTGGCAATACTTACAATGTTAGGAGGGTTTCTTTTTTCTTTTAGAGTCAGAAAGGAAAATAAATTAGTGCCTTGTCATCTAAGAAATACTCATCTAACTTGTGTCTGCAAGATGGATGCTATCCATAGCCTCCGTGAGAAATGGACTGCCACATCAGATCATCTTTCCAAACTGGCTCAGAAATACAAGGAAGGGACAAGATTTGTGTTTGGTCCCTCTGTCTGGTATTTCCCTTACACTCATCTTGGCTATGAGGGAAACTGCTGCTTAGGAAACTGTTTCTGTTCAGCAAGATATCTAAAGTCTGACAAAGGCTTTGTGCTAATGTCTGAAACACCAGAATTACTCTTTTTGTGTGGGTGAAAAAATGGCCCATGGTCAAGAACTATTTTGAGCATTGTGATACTAGTTATGGGAATATGTTTGGATAATGCTATCTATGTATAGCATCTTTCTTGTCCATTTGTTATGTTTCCATGTTGTCATCAAATGCCTGATAATTTCTCATTAATAGAAAAAAAACCCAGTGTGTGTAAATCAGCTGTGTTCAAATTCCTCCCCCAGAAAAGTTGTGGTCTTAATCAGGATTAGCTTGTGAAACTGAGATGAAGGATCTTCAAGTCCTTCTTTACGGAATGCCGTGGTGAAATAGAGCTCTACTCAACTGCTTACTCTCACCTGTGCCTGTAATTTGTGTGGGTGTTTGCTGAGTCTGCAGATGCCTACAGAAACAGATAAATGGTTGTTAGTGGCATACGGGGATGCTCTCCTGTCCTATTTCGCACTCAAAGCAGGGCTGTTACCTGCACTGGCTCAGGATCCCCATGGCTTTGTGTAAGGCTTGGCAACCTGCAAGGATTGAGAACCCAGAGCCTCTTTGGCCCCTGTTCCAGTGCTGCCATCACCTCCCTGTTGCAGCCTTTTCCTGAATGCCCACCTTCAGCACCCATGCGGGTTGTATGGCATCGTGTTCCTTTTGCTGTCTCATAAATGATGGTGTTTGAATGGTGTCACCAATGAATGCAGGTACTTCATGACTGTATTTGACTAAATCCCAGACTTTCATCCAATTTTAACTACCACTTTTTTCATGTTTTGTTTAAAAGATTGATTTAACAATTCATATCTATGAGAGGGTTTTGACGTTTTGAGCAAAGATGATGAAAGGGGTTTGTGAAGGAGGGAGGAAAACTCTCTGCTCTGCCTTCCAAAACAAACCAAAATAAAGCCAGACAAAGCAATGTATTACCTTAAAAAAAAAAATCCCTGCTGTCTCTCTGCATTTGCTGGATATTAAATTGCAACATTTAACATAGAAATAGCCTTCACTGAGGAGAACTGGTTTTGAGTTTTCCACTGAGAAACTGGTTTTGATTGAAATAAGAGACTGGAAATTCACATAGTGTATATGAGCGGTATAATTTTCTCCCATTTTCTTCTTAAGGCAGATGGTTAAGGAAAGCTCTTTGTAGAAAGTATTTCCTTGCCATACATGCTATACAAATAGAGAGAAGAGAACAGCAGGGGACTGCTTTCTGTGTTCCCAGAAGAACCCAGGACTGCACACACCCTTCTCTCTTTCACACAATGTGCCTTGTGAAGCACAGCAGGGACAATTTGTTTTCAATAGGATTGTATGTGAGTTGTGCCATTTTTTGTGGGGGAGAATAAGTTAACAAGCTCAGCAAACATGAGTGTTTCATGTAAAGCATCAGGGTGTTTGGCAGGCCCAGGAACATGTTGAGTAAGACAAACCATGTGAGATGTCATGGAAATCCCTGCCAACCCAAGGGATGAGCTATTCATGCAAGCCTTTTTGCACCTTTAGTGGACCAGCACCAGAACAAGCTCAGTGTATGGGGTGGGATGGTGGATTGGCAGGGTAAGACTTATTTCAGAGTGGAAGCTGATATCCTTTGGATCCAATGCATGGCTACTTAGAGTCCACTTGAAAGCTTTAAATCCCTTCTGAAAAATAGATGGAAAGCATAAAATTAAGGGCGCATTCTATATTTGCTTGACAGATGAAATATGATCAGTGAGGCCACCATGCAGTGTGTTTAATGAGTGCAAGAGAAAACAATACAACTTCCAATCATAAAAAGATCTTTTTCTAATTGCTTTGTAGGTGGTCTTTGAGGCTTTGCACAATCTGGAGCCTCGTGGGTATGTTGTCGGATGGATCATTGCCATCAGTTTGCTGGTGGGAATTCTCATCTTCCTGTTGCTGGCCGTGCTTTTATGGAAGGTAAGGTAACAGATGCAACATAAACACCAAGGCTAGTCCCAGGAAAAAAAAAAAAGAAAAGCTTAAAGTTATCCTTGCATTTAACATTCACTTTTTTTAGGAACTAAAAAATTGTCCACTCCATTACAGAAGTCATTAGCCAGCAAATACAGTTTTATATCCAGGCTTTTGTGAGGGACAGGGAGAGATTCGTGTTGTAGAGAAAAAGTGAAGGCTGAGGGTTTTTTAGGGCCTGGCGATTAAAAGTTGAGACCTCTGATACCATTTCAGGATAAAGCAGTGATCCCTCTTAGAAATCTGCTATTATCTCATACTCACATACTTGGTACATCTCTCTGGTTTTGGGATAACTGAGGTTCATTGATTTCGGGGTTTCCTGAAGATCAGGTCAAATTTCTTGACCAGCTGAAAGACTGCACGCATCCCTAGCACAAACCTGTCAGTAGCTACTGTTTTCAAGAGGTAAATGCCTGGGGGAGAGGAGTATCCAGTAATAAATTCTTCAGATCACTCAGAGTTCCAGATGAGAAAATGCCTTATGAGAGCAAGTAGTGCATGGACCTGTTAAAAGCCATCCTTCGCACAGTCTCTGATAAGATACAGCTCTTGTACCCAGGCGCTGTTACATGGTAAAACTGGGCTGATGCTGACAATTAGCAGCAGCCATCTGGTGTGGTAAATAGAAGGGTAAGGAGCTTCAAGTGTTTTCATTCCTCAGTTCCCTTTTACCAATCCATAAATCTAAAAGGCCACGGTCAAGGTCAGGGACTGTCTTTGAGAGAAGTAAATCTCAAGTGCATACATAGGAACAAGTCCAACCTTATTTTGCTTCCCGTGGCGGAGGTCCAGCAGCCTGATCTGCGCTGTTGAGCAGCATGTGTGCTGCAGTCTGTGCTCACCCGCTGTGCCGGGACTGGAGGTCCCAGCCCCAATGTGCTGTGAAAGGACATAGCGCTGCAGGTCAGGAGGCTGTAAAATGGATTTACAAACCTAGGCCAAAAACTGTCCAGGCAGTTCTTATTATAGATTATACAGATGTGTAGATCGCTTTGTTATAGGGTGTAAATCTACTTCATGGATTATATAAATTTTATACATGTTGTAGATTTGAAGTAGTTTTATAGGCAGTTTTGAAGATTTAAAACCATATACTGGCCAGGTCAGAACTGACTGTGCTTTCCATTTGGAAAACAATGTTTGACCACAGTCTTGAATATGTTGTAACTTCTGTTTTCCTGACATGTGGGCAATGCTTTTGGTTTCCATGGCAGAAAAAGTGAAAGAAAGAAAAAAAAAAAAAACAAAGGGAAAGAAAAAGGTCTGTGCAATTCAGATGGCAGAATAACCATGAGAATGAAAAAATGTGAGGTTGGAACAGGCCCAGAGTTTATGCCCAATGACACACAGGTTTGAAAAAAGGAGTTAATGCTGCTAATACCTATATGACTGATTTCATAAGGTTCATTTCCTGAAGGTAAAAAGGCAGTAGATGATCTGTTTGAAAATGTGCAAGGTAAGAGGAATAGCACCTTTCACTGTGAGCCTCCATGGGAATCAAACACAAGTTCAGGTCTTGGTCTCTATTAGGATTAATACAAATTCTTTGCTTCCTGGCTCGATCTTGAAACTTGAGCTCTTCTAAATTTTATAGGGATCATTCAAGTACACATCAAGGTCATTCATGTACATTTTGAGTACTCATGGTGCCATTTTGATGCCTGAAAGCCTTGAGGGAAATTCTGAGTGACAGCAACAAATAGTTCTAACTAGCACCAGGCTTATATAGCACTTTCTGCATGCAGATGTTGAAGTGCTGAGGCAAAGGAAGGTGAGATTCCTTGCCCAGAAAGCCAGACTTTGTCAGCTGCACTCCTGTGCTTCATCTACAGGGTTGGATGACTACTAAAGAAACCAATAACTTAACAGTTTGATTTAGAGAAAAGTGGTTAAAAGTCTGTAGCTGTATCAGCCAGTATTTTCATCCAAGTCTTCATTTGGAACATAAATATACATAAGTGATACTTTGCACTCACTAGTTGCTATATTTATTAAGATTACTGGCAATATTAAAGTTGTCTGAGATAAAACTGATGTGGGAAAGCTGCAGTCCTGCAGAGGAATCTTAATTGTCTGATTGTAAATATTTGTTAGACAAAAGTGGCCAAGTACATCCTACAGTCATGCCTAAATTTGCTGTGTGAAAATGTAAAAAAGACGAGCAAATGTATATTAGAAGTGGTTTAGTTTTTAACTGTGGAATGAAAGAACAGATTTTAATTAAATGGAGTTTGGGGCATCTCAGAATGACTGGTGAGAACTAGAAATGACCCAGATTTGAGGACTAGCATATAAACTAAATTATATTTTTATTAAGAAATTAATTAGACCTAAAAAAGTAGTCCTGGAAGGCAGCTCCTTACACAAAACAGAACAGGAGCTGGAGCAAACTTATTGTAAGAGCGCTGGCATCAGTGCAGGGATTGCTGGCAGGGCTCTCAGCTCTGTGTGGAAGATACACTGTCACTGTGTGCATGACTGCCCAGTGAGGAAGTTCTACCTACTTATCCCAAGTTGTAGAAAAATATTAGAATACATGTAAATATGTCACATTACACACTTCTAGAATTAGCAGGACTGAGGTCTCATGGACATTCCAGCCCTATATTGAATCAGAGTAAGGTTACTGAGCATACAATAAAATGAGGATGGTAATTATTTCATTATTTGTAGATCTAAAATTGCACAGCTTAGGAAGTCCATGTCAAATGGAAGTGATGTCAAATGCCTGGTTGTTTCACTTCAAACAAAAGTGTATTTATTCGCATGCAAGACCGCAGCCATGTTTAAACACACATAACGAGCTTTTGAGCATGAGCTTGATCAGTTTTTGACTGCCTTTCCTTCTCTGTTTATTTTAGTATTTCATGTAGACACCGTGTTTCCTCTGGTTTAAGTGTGCACAGATCCAGAGCAGGAGAGCAGCTTTTCCTTGCATTCGTGGGATAATGGGCATGATGCATAAGGGTTACCTATTGCCTATTTTGTTGGATAACCCAGTTTTACCTCGACACTTGTCGTTATTCCTATCTTGTTCATCCACTCTAGATGTCTTTGTACAGGCATGCATGGGGATGTGGGGATGTGCTCCCAATGTTGCTAGCTCCTCTGCACTGCACATCACTTTCCCTGCTTGTGCCTTGCCTGTGGTCTCCTATGTGGACAAGGAGCAGGAGGGGCTTTCATGCTGTTGCCCACAGCCATACATCTTGCTTTTTACTGCAGAGATTGGACTGCACCTCTTTAGTGGCCTCCAGATGCTTGTGGAGATCGAAGCAGGGGAGGAGTTCGCTTTGCTTCAGGCCAACTACCCATGTGTTAGACGAGCCCATGGTTTCACAAGCACTGCCAATAGTTCAGGAGGGAATGGTGGTCATGGCTGGCTTATTTTGGGGAGTGCTGTCCCACACGCACTGCCTTCAGCTGTTAGGACTGCAGCCATACATGGGGACAAGGTCCCCTTTGGGCATAGTGGATTTATGCATGTGTAAACCAGGGGAGAATTGGCATACACAGTGCAAATGAAAAAGTGAAGCGTAATATAACACAATAAATATTCTGTAATAGAAATGCTTTACAGTGCTGTGGATTGAAATTTGAACTGGCTTGAGCTGTGGAGTGAATTATTCCATCCATATCATTTTAGATAAAGTGCACAGAAATTAAAGAAATGGGGTTTGCCCAGAGGATATCAAAGAGGGGATGTGACAGTGAGTACCAGACTGGACATCTGAGCAGCTGAGTGATCTGTGGAGCCAGTTGTGGAAGTGATTTGCAAATCAAAGATTTTATATTCATTGCAGTAACGTTATTTTCTTTCTTTGTGGCATGTTTAACACAGGAACTGTACTTTTATCTAAATTTATTTGTCTAGACATTAAGCTTCTTTCTGAACTGAGCCTGTCCCTGTTGTATCCAAGCTCTGACCCATCTAAAATGAGGTTTCTAGCATCATTGTATAGATTTTGGATTCCTGGGGTGAAGAATTAATCTCTGGGTGTCCCTTATGCAATAAGACACTCTCGTGCTCCAAACCCTCTTTGGATTCTTGATGGGATTGCAGAGAGGAAAACAAACAGAATAGCAGCCACATACATTGGGGTTTGAGTAGCTGAAGGGTTCCTGTTCTTAGGTGCTATGCAGAAACATGTTTCCTTTTGTCTTAGAATAAGAGTTTGAAAACTTCTATTTTTTTTAGGAGAAATATTGTGATGACAATGAGTTCTGTTTACTGAGCTGAGTTAGTGCAGGCTTCAAACTGGCATTTTCCAGCGAGGAGCATGAATCATACCAAGTGCTGGACTTGCAAAATCCTGCTTTAAGCAGAGGCTGTATGTGTGGATGCAGTGATTTGGTAGCACTGCTTTAAGGGACAAGCTTTGAAATAGAAAGCTTTATTTATGAAATATGAAGTTCTTTTTTAAGAAAGCCAGACAAACCCAAGCAGGTTTTTCAAAGGTGCCTTTGGGCTTCTAGCTTGAAGAAGCCTTATGAGTTTTTTCTGTGACTGCACAAATGTCTTTGAAAGAGCGCTTATATTCCCCTACATGCAGTAGTTGCCATTGCCTCACATATTGTTTCAGCCTTCAGAAGACATCTTAAGCTAACCAAGGCTAAAGCTAACTTGAAATTCACCTATGTAGCAGAAACCACTCTTTTTCCCCTTTTGGAAAGAGATACTTTCCCTTACTTAGGGCTCCAACGTTAAGGCTTTTTAAAATAGGCCAAAACATACAGCTCACCATTTTCCAGCAGAGGAAAGAAAAAACCCACACCAGAACCAAACCAAAAACCTCTGCAGTTACTCTTTGCCAGTTGATCTGTATCCTGTGTTACAAGCCCAAAAACATTTTCTTTCCCTTTAATTTATGCTCAGGTGGCAGAGGCTAACTACCATTTCCTGGCTAGTCCTCGTAGCAGCCCCTTTCCTGATGGCCACGTTT